TCTCGATCGTGCTTTGCCTTCTCTTCTCGCTCTCATTTGCGTATGTTTAGCCACCATATACGCTAGTCACTTGCTGCAGCTCCACCTCATACCTTTACCTTTCCCATAAGCTTAAATAGTCTTGATCGCGAGGGTGCGAGATTGCTGAGTCCCCGTGACTCACAGATACTTCCAAAACCAGCTTGCAGGTGCCGATGAGTCCGTGCAGATGACGCAACCAAGCTCAGGAGGAGCTCGATGAAGATCTTGTCCTTTGTTTTGTTTCGTGCTAGTTGATCAGTAGTGGAGCCCAGTTGGGGTCGATCGGGGACCGTGTCGCATTTGGGGTTCTTTTTTTATTTTGGTTCCGTAGTCGGACCTTGAGTGTATCTGGATGATGTAATGCTTTATTCATGTAATTGTGTGAAGTGGCGATTGTAAGCCAACTATGTTATCTCTTTCCCTTATGTATTACATGGGTTGTGTGAAGATTACCTCACTTGCGACATTGCTTTCAATGCGGTTATGCCTCTAAGTCGTGCTTCGACACGTGGGAGATATAGCCGCATCGAGGGCGTTACAATCAATTTCCACAAAAGCAAACTCTTCTGTTTTGGAAGGGCCAAAGATGACCAAGAAGAGTACAAACACCTGTTTGGTTGTGAACTAGGATCGCTGCCCTTTAGTTATCTTGGCATTCCAATCCATCATAGGAAATTGACTAATAAAGAATGGAAATGTATCGAGGATCGATTCGAGAAGAAACTTAGCTACTGGAAGGGTAAGATTATGTCATATGGAGGACATCTAGTATTAATTAATTCGGTACTAACGAGCATGCCGATGTTCCTACTGTCTTTTTTCGAAGTGCCCAAAGGGGTACGCAAGAGATTAGAGTTTTATCGATCTCGATTCTTCTGGCTATCGAACGAGGTTAAGACAAAATATCGTCTGGCAAGATGGGATATTATTTGTCGACCAAAGGACCAGGGGGTGTTGGGATTGAAAACCTTGAGGTGAAAAATAAATGCTTGTTGAGTAAATAGCTATATCGATTATCGCTGCATTCCGAAGGATGTGTGCCTAGATTCTTCGCAACAAGTATTTACACTCCAAAACTCTAGCCCAGGTTACGTAAGACCTAATGATTCACCATTTTGGAAGGGACTCATGAGAGTGAAAGACACTTTCTTCCATAAGGTGAAGTTTAGTGTTGGGGACGGCTCAACAATAAGATTTTGAGAGGATATGTGGTTAGGTGATACGCCGCTAGCTCTCCAGTATCCTTCGCTGTATCATATTGCTCAACGTAAGGAAGAGTACGTGGCAACGGTGATGCAGACGGTACCCTTGAATATCCAGTTCAGGTGATCTCTAGTTGGGGAACGCTGGACTTCTTGGCTGCACTTAGTGAGGAGGCTAATGGAGGTGCACTTTTCCGATGAGGAGGATTCTTTTAGATGGAAGCTCACGAAAAATGGCTTGTTCGCGGTCAAGTCCATGTACTTAGATCTCATCAACTCTGGCCCAATCCCGCGATCGCTTCATATTTGGTGAGTTAAAGTGCCCTTGCGAATTAAGATATTTATGTGGTTTGTCCACAAACAAGTAATCCTAACCAAAGATAACTTACTGAGGCGGAGATGGGTAGGCAGCTCGAGGTGTTGTTTTTGTGATCAGGATGAAACAATACAACACCTATTTCTTGATTGCCCTCTTGCGAAGTTACTTTGGCGATCGGTGCATGTAGCCTTTAATATTTCACCTCCTAATAACATAGAAGCGTTATTTGGGACGTGGCTTGCTGGAGTGAATGTTCATATCGCGTGTAATATTCGGATTGGAATATGTGCACTTATTTGGGCTATATGGAACTGTAGGAATGATATGATTTTTAACAGAAAACCTATGACTAATTTCTTGTAGGTCATATTTCGGGCTACGGCATGGATCCGTACTTGGTCATTACTCACTCCTACGGCCTCCAGGGAGCAGCTGGCTACTGGGTGCAACCGATGGGAGATGGCAGCACGAGTTTTCTTCAACTGGTTTGGATGGCGATCACTGCATAGGATAGGTCCTTAGTGGATCCTCGTTTAGCCGGATGCGGCTTTGAGACTTGTACTCTTTTTTTTCCTTTGCTCCTTTTGTGAGCAGTACTTTGTACTTCAGACTTTGTTACTGTCGGTTTTTTAATGAAGTGGCCGCATGCATCTATCGATGCAGAGGCCGGGAGATGACCTCCTTTTCAAAAAAAACATAAACAATGTTGTGCATCTTTTTGGTGTAAAATTTATCTTGAATCGACCACCGTAGATTAGAGGGGACTAGGTGAAGGAGGTTAAGAAGTGTGAGTAAAACAAATCACACATTTGCATTTGTACATTCAATTAGAGCACTAGGGAGATAAAGATCTACACGTCTACGACCATCGAAACAGAAAATATACAACACGAATGTTGTGTGAAACAGGAAGATGAAGTTATTGGTCAAAGAAAATTCAAACAATCCGTTGAGTGTGACGATTTGACAAATTTTGCCCAAATAACTCCAAACATGAACATGAAATTGAACATATACAGTTAATGAAACTATGAACTAATCATGTGAATGGAATCATAACATGATTTGCATCTTTCTCATGTAGAGCTTATCCCAAGCCGAAGCGCTGTTGTGTGGAATAGAAAGAATTATGCGAAAGAGATTATGGAGTTAAGCAAAACAGGAACATGTGCAAACCCCACTGATCCCATGTCCCAGTCCTGCACCATGTTGCATCGTGAGAGCCACTCGCGTGTGGTCTTCGGCATTGCTTGAGTCCGGCTTGCAGAAATAGTCGATTCGACGTTTTTAGCAGATCTAATTGAGCGGTGTTTTAACATCGTGTGAGCCAAAAAAATAGATGCAGACAAGGAACCCAAACAACTTTTTTTACACACGCGAAGCTGGCTGAACCTAATGCAACCTATTCCCTCCATCTCAAAATTCTTGTCTTAAATTTGTCTAAATACGGATATATTAAATTATTTTAGTATTACATACATCTGTATCTAGACAAATCTAATATAAGAATTTTAGGACGAAGGGAGTACTAAACATAAACAGGGTGGTATGTGGTGTGGTTTTGCGAGGACGAGGTGAGGCCCGGATGGCCTCTTGTGGAAGGCCCTGTGGGGTGGGGACGCTATCTCATGGCTCACGACAATATTAAAAGGTACTTCCTCCGTTTCAAAATAGATAACCGACGTGGGTTATCTATTTTGAAATGGAGGGGGTCAGCACTTGAATAACTAGTCAAAGCTATCCGAGACAAGTCAATGATAACCAATTATGGAAGTGATTTACATGGTTGTCGAGATTCAGTTGTAAGACCCCCCGGTTTACGGATTAAAAAACACAAAAATATAGTAATGCATGCACAAAATAAGGATCGGTAAATATAGAAGTTATATCAACTTTTATATTTGGTTCACAAAAAATGTTTTTTTCTACGGAAATCCCAATTTATACAGTCAAATGGAAGTCAAAAGCTCACGAAAATGTATAATTAAAATGTTATGATGCCACCAAGGATCTTACGACTCGTTTGTTTTAGAGAAAAATCCGGAGTTTTCGATTCCAGCTATTTCAAAAAATGAAAGTCAGCATTTGTTTCGCGGAAAAGAATTCTATAAGATCGGGTCTCATACGAGACCCATCCTGATGAATGACACATGGCATTCATAAATCACAAAGCATCCCCCACGCTCCACTTAAAATCAAAAGGAGAGAGATTAGATGCTTTGTGATTTATGAATGTCACGTGTCATCCATCAAGACGGGTCTTACCTGCTAACCGTGAGACCTGATCTCACATAATTTTTTCCTTGTTTCGCCCACAATATTTTCCATAGCCGTGCGTTCACAGCGTTTCACAAAATTGAAACCGCTCGAATCTAATGGGACTAGAAACCGGAACGCAGTGGCACGTACCAAACAAATGGCGTATTTTTTTACAAAAAAATAAACGAAAGCAATGCTTCCTGATATGAGAAATCGAATACGTTGCCGCTGGAACCAAACGATCTCGTTCTTCGTGCATATGAATCTGAAAGAGCAGTCCAAGTGGATATTAGAATTTCTGTGTTTTTCCTTTGAAATTGAGATCAGAAGTTTTGTTTTCTTTGCCCCATTCCTTTGAACCGAGTACATGAATAGTAAGTACAACCATGGAAAAATTGGTTATTCCTACCTTTTTCTTCACGTTTTCTTCGAACCAAAGGAGCCCTAGTAATAATTGTATAGGCTACTTGTCCGGTGGAAATATGGGATATATGGTATTGTGAGAAGAAAATAGACGGGGACCTTTTTTTCGAGAAAAAAAATAGACGGGGACTGAGCAGTCTTATCTCATCAATGGGCCTGACAGAAACTCGTAGGCTTTTACGGGGGGGCTTGACAGGACACCGGCCCAGGCTCCGCCACTCCGCCCAACCCCGAGACCCTCTTCCTCCTCCTTTCTCCTTCTCCAGCAAAAGCTTCGTTCTTCTCGGCGACGGGGAGGAGAAAACCAGTTACATCTACGACTTCGGTTCCGGAGGTAAAGCTAGGTCTTCCTCATCCATCCTCCAACTCCAAGGGGGGGAAAGAGCAGAGCAGCCTCTTTTTTCTTCACCGCTCGCACTACAGTTTCGGTCTCGATTCTTGTGTTGTCGCGGTCGATTTTCCCCGGGATGTCCACACGAACGGTTCTTCCCCAACGATCCTGACCCATCTAGTAGCGGCGCTCTCCTCATCCTTGAATAGCTGCGAGGTTCTACTGCGCTGCTGAGTTTGTGATCTGACTTGGCCCCAGTTCATAAATAATCTCGACATTTATTCGGATTTGTTTTTGTTTAAGTCTCCTGTGGACGGACAGAAGGCCTCATTGTAGTACAACTTGTTGCTCATTCATAAGTCGCTGATTATCACACCGTTGTTCTGGCTCTTGTGGGCGCGCTAGGTACAAGCTGAAGGCGAAGGTGGAAGACGCCACAGGCACAATGGACCTGATGATCTTGTGCGAGGTGGCGGAGGAGCTGGTCGGTGTCTCTGCAGAGGAGCTTGTCGATAACATTGAGGAAGACGACGAGTGGTACGCCCTGCCAGACGAAATCGAGGATCTTCTTGGCTCGACGCACACCTTCCAGGTTTTCGACAAGTACGTGAATGGGAGCTTCGCGGTGAGGTCGATCATGGACGATGCTAGCGTCCCAGCCCCTGCTGCAGCCGCTAGCCAATGCAAGGAGAAGGCTGACCCTGAGGGGAGCCAGAAGCCTAGCAAGCGCCTGCGAGGGGATGACGACTCGATCAACTAGGGAATGGGGGAGCACTCTGGGAGTAGTAATAGTGTATCTAGGGTAATGCGTCTGAAAGGATCAGGCAATGGATCTCTCTGTTATCCTTCTTCTACCTGGGAACTCCTGCATCTACTGCTGTGGCTCGACTAGTGATGGTGGTGGGTAACAACAGACTAGAACCCGTTTAACGCTTTTGAACATTGCTTACCTCTATCTAGACGTATTTTAGTACTAGATACATCCATTTTCGAGACAAGTAATTCCGAATGGAGGGAGTAGATTCAATGGCTCACGAGGCAAGTTTTCAGACTTTCACCCAAATCAAGTTCTCACTGGATACATCATCATTGGAGTAAATTTGAAATGAAGTGAACTATATACAATGGAGCTTACATAGGCGGACAGGGCAAATCCAGTTTATTTTCCAGTTGCTTGAGGTCATGTTCCTAGCTGCTGCGAATACAAAATAATTTCCATTTTGTACTTCTCAGGTTTGGACAAAGTTCAGACAACACTGAAGTTTCAATGTGCCCATAAACAGTGCAATTCAATTTGGTTTCTGTTCATAATTTCACATACGACCGATGGCTAGATAAATTATGTCCGGACAAAATGACGTTTTACGTGAATAATAAACGTAAGTATAAAAGAAGAGCTCAGCTTGTTCTCGTAACTCCACAACCATGGCATTCAGCATAAACCAATCACACATAGCAGATTGTGATTATGCCCGTGAAATCAGCCATAGGACTATACATGCGACCTCAGTCTGATGTCTGCAGTCAAAAACAGGGCAAGGAACAGGATACAACAGAGCAGCGATGCCACGACAGACGATGAATGAATCGATAGATGTATCAGCGAAGCGAGGCCTTGCCGGAGAGGTGGAGAAGCGCACACTTGTGGTGTGCAGCACGGAGCTTCTTGTACTTCTGCACAAAGGTCGGCAGGTCAATGTCCTTCTCCAGGAACTTTTGGTGCAGCTCCTCCGACTCCTCGTCCAGCTTCGCCATTGTACCTGGGCAGAGACATGACGATAAGGTGTGCAGGCATGTCAGCAACGGGCTTGCATGACGAACAGTTTTACATTGCTAAACTTCAAGCACTGGTTTAGACTGCAAGGAAACCAAGCACAACATCACACGAATTGGAGCTGCAGCTGTTCAGAACACTTACTTTGCAGCTTGTCGAGCAGAGCAGCAGGAGAATAGGACTTCATAATCTCGTCCTTTTGCCTTTCCAACTCGGCCAACCTGTCCTCAGCGGCTGCTAGTTCTGTGGTTCTGATTATAGTACACTGCACAAAATCACAAACACAACCAGAGTTTCAGGAGGAAATTATCGACTGCAGACAACAATATCGAAAACTTGCACAAAACACTAGAGTAAGATTATTTTTTGTTTCTATAATGGTTTTAACTAATTAGTGTTTTATCTCTCATAACTGAATTAGTTATTTATATATTGAGTGGACTAAGTAACGAAAAACAAGACCACTGGTTACAAACTTGAGGGGTAAATAGTACTGAACCTGATTCCTGAGCTCTGAAATCCGCTGCTCCTTTTCTAAATTTTCTCCTGTATAAATTCACCATAAACCATAAGTTCCCATTTAGAGACAATCAAAAGCCCATTTAGAGACACCAACAATTGATCTACAGAAATTGAATAACTCACTCGCAAGCTGCAGGGTCTCCTTTCTAAGCTCATCACGTAACTGAACATAAGCAGACACAAGTGAGAAAACCGACAAGAGCACTCTTAGGAATCAATGTGGTATATCTATTGGCAAGATCAAGCCTTCAGATAACTTGTATATATTTTAAATCAACCACAGCAACAAATATTACAAAAATTGTAAGATGATCACCAAAATGGCATCTGAACTACTTAAGAACATGTGTCAGCAATAACCTTCTGTTACATTTGATAAGGCTCATCCCATTTAATTGATTTATAATGTTAAGTAACAAAGATCATACTAATTGCTGCAGTAAAAACTGGAAGCAAAGGAATCTGGTACAAAGGAAGTGAAAACCGACTTGCTGAATTATATGTCTATTTATGCTACAACAGAAACACTAACCAAAAAAACCAGGGGAACCATTCTTAGCAGTTAGCAACCCCACTTTTATATTAGAACCAACAGCAGAAAAATACATGTAGCTATCATGTTGAACAACCAACTCAACCATACCGCAATGAAGTCAGCAATACATACAATAACAATGGTATAGGCAGCAGCAAGACTTACATTGTTCTGTGTTTTAACTTGGTCAAATGAATTGAAAAAAGCATTATATGACTCCTTGTCCTTTAACAGCCTCTGCAGCTCATCAACACTGCATCAATAGTAAAGGTAAGAACAGCATAGCATAACATAGTTCTGTATTCCAGAAAGTATGCATAACCATCACCATATAATGGTATGTATAACGAAATACTGTGCAAATACACACACAGTAAACATTGGAAATTTGAAACATATCAAATCTATGCATAATTGCTGCTTCCAAATTCTCTAGCATACATATAGTTGGCATGCCTTCCATGCATCTGTTTTCTACTCATCAGTACTTAATCTATAATTTCCCTCTAGAATCAACCTACATAATCGTTCTATTGTTCACATAGACAATTAAAGAAGCTCTTGTTCTTGCAATGTTCCATCTTATCTCTGCAGTGTCGATGTAAAATAGAGTCATGCCCGACTATAATTTGTAGAAATGAGTGCTGAAGTGAAAGAGAGTCATGCTCAACTAAAATATTCAGGGATTAGGCACATGAGTGATAATTTTCCACATTTCCTCATTTACTAAGATAGGATAAATAGCATATGTAGAAACGATGTTGTCTGCTCAATATAAAAAAACAAATCAAATTTGGGTTTGTCCAGCAAGTGTCATAATAATATCTTGTAGCAAGTTCTTATAGAAGGTGCAAATAACAATGATCAAATACCTGAAAATGCAAATCTTTAAGGGGGGGATGCAAATTTGATGGTCTAAGCAGCATAACAACTGAATATATTAGCCACTTTACATAGTTTTCTTTTCATATTATATCCAACATTGCCAGAAAGTGAAAGGAGTCTTCAAGGTGTTAGGATAAAATATCTTTCGTACAACTTGGATGCGGCAATCTTCTGACAAAAGCTTGTTCAGTATTATTACTTGAAGAAGAATTGAGGATTATGAAATTGTATCCCACTACCCAATCAAAGAAATGAGTGGTTTCCTTTTCTTATTCCTAGCTGGAACATGGAAAATGCCAGCCTTGATCCAGCACTGTAATGTGATACACTATAAAAAGATTACAACTTAAAAGATAAGCATTTCTTCAAATAGCATAAGCTGACCAGGTTTAGAAACTCTCAGTTTGAAGACGAACGTTCAAATATATGTCACATCATGGTAAAACTAAGATGTTGGTTGCAATTTATAGTCCACAATACAGATACAGTTTTACAAAAAGACGCAAGAAATACTGAAAGGAAAGAAGGCCAATAGTGTACCTCTTATCCCTCAAACGAGCAATTATCCCTGCAGCTTCAGCTGGAGACGGTTGGCCACGTGATGAAGGCTGAGGATGATCTGAAGCTCTTTGGTGTGGACTAGCACCGGAAGAGCTGGGTGTGGATGGATGTGAAGATGAACCACCTACTGAGGGAGGGTACCAAGATTGCGTAGATATGTTCTGGAAATTTGGTTCAGGTTGCTGTTGCTGCTGTTGCTGCTGAGAGCTGCTGATAGCATTTATTAATAAGCAAACCTAAGGAAGTAAGCAAGACAAGTAAAAAGTACAAAGCAATCTTAAGACAAATATACAGTGCCATTCACATACACTATTCTAATAATTCAGTGTAACTGAAGATCCAAGCATAGGAAATGCAAAATAGTAGTTCGGCTAACTTTCTTTGGCTGGCAGCAAAATAATGTTTTGGAGCAAAAGTGAGCAGATTCATGAACCATGTTGATTGCACGATTTTCTTCGAAATGAAGGACTAGGTACCACACAAAGCCTGCCTGGTAGCTGGACTGAACCTCCGACAAATAACGTAGCATGAACTGACAACTTATTTCATTTTATTTCCCAGCATTAGGTTTTGATCAACAGGGAAGCTCGATCTATACACGAAAACGTCGGGTCACAAGAATGAGAAATGAATGGAACTTATTAGCTCTATTCCCCAATATATCTGGTTTACGAAGAGAGACAACTCAATTCATACAACATTCAGAAAAAATGCTTTGGAAGATTGAAAAGTGAACGCCCGGACAAAGAAATAAGAACGGGCAATACCACCTAGATTAGTTTTCAATTGCAACTGCCATTAACCTACCCGAAAAGAGGAATTCTCCAGCTCATCGCGCAAAAGCAATCTGCATCAAAAGAAAGAGAAGGCTGTGTGAACTTGAAATGTTTGAACCGTCAGCTATGAATAATGAGTTATTATCTAAAAGTAAACTCTGATGGAAAATAACATCTCAATGGTAATACATACTGGTGACAAGACAGGATGCTAACATTTTCTGAGAATATGGAAGATAGGTGTGTGCCATTACCATTAAGAAGAAAAAATGACAAGACACTGAAGCTGCATCGCAAAGAAACCATCTGACCGAATCTGCATACAGTTCTGTGCTATAGGCAGATTGAATTGCAGGCAGTGGTTTCTATTCCCAAACTGCCTACAGGTGCCATGGGAAGAGAAGCCATGCATTTGCTGGCAACTTGCTATTGCAAAACCCAGCCTAAGCGCATCCAGGCACCCAGCAGCTCTCCAAAGTCGAAACTAAGTTGCAATAACGCTCTAGGTTTCTAAACTTGTAATTTGTCAGGGCCTGCCGGGTCGGTAGGCCGGACCAGGCAGGCGAAAATCCTTGGAGCAGAAAATTCCAGCAGGGGATTCTCAAGGGTTTACACGGGCGGCCGACGCCCCCCGGAAAACAACCGACCGGACGCGATTTCGCCATCTAATCTGACAACTCCGAGGGGAATTTTGTTTATCCTCACGCGACAACTGAACGCAGCCGGCCCGGATCGAAGCGGAACCGGATCAGGCGCGGAACCGATCCGGGTGAACGAGGGAGGAGAGAGCGAGCAAGTTACGTACCTCGCCGGCCGGCGTCCGCGTCGGCGTGTGGCGGTTGCTTCGCGTGGGAGGAAGATGGGGGTGGGCAAGACTGATTCTGGGAGGAAGGAACAGGAGAGAGCGACGCAAGGTTGGTCTACCGGGCTCGCTCACGCGCTGATCAGCTGGGCCGGCCCATCTCTTGCCGCACGCCACACGTCTTCATGATGATGACAGCATGGCACACAAACACACGTCTTCACCCCTAAAAAAAACAGATTCTCACAAAAAAAAAGGTCACGCCACATGTGTGTATGCACGAATAAAAAAGTGCGAACATGAAAGAACTTTTTTTACAAGGTAAGAGAGGGTTTTATTTCATAAGATTAGGGTTAGACAACAAATCCTCACAACAAGGAGGGTTCGAGTTCAACTATACCGTAGTATAGGTTTTAGTACGGCTATAGTGTGCCAATTGATGTTCTACCCTATTCTGACACCTAATGATTTACATAGGAATAAACTCTCTATCTACCATTACAACTTTAATCTCAGCAGATAAATGTCCATAGGCCGATCTAGAGTGTGAGTCTCCCTCAAGTACATGGCCAAGGCTGAAGTAGAATCTGCCTAGAATGATAGGTTTATCTAAGTGCTCGATTGCCAGCGCCATGCCTTGCATCATAGCATGAAATTCCGCTTCTAGGGCGTTGTTGCAGTTGAAGATGTATCTATATGCCGCAAATATCATTGATCCATTCTCCCTTCTTAGCACCATACTAGCTGAAGCACTTCCATCTTGACTCAAGAAGGAGCCATCGATAGACAGCGCCAACCAATCCGCTGGAGGAGCTGGCCATGGCTTAGACGGGATTCAGACTATCTTGTTTGGAAGAACCTGGCTATTTATGTCAACCGACATCTTTCCTTTCAAGATTTCCTCCACGCTATATCTCTTTGCAAGATTTAGACACTTATAATAGCTATTCAAGTAGTCCACCGTTGCTTCAACTGGGCTTGCACTCTTACCATGCAAGATGTCATTACTTTGCTGCCAAATCCGCCAAATGGTCATTATTACCATATCACGAACGTGTTCGGGGCAGTTTGTCAGCACCTGCAACACCTAGCCCTAACCAGTGTCCACCAAAGCTGAGTCCTCTGGGAGCGGCCAAATAGTTCGCAACGCTTCCCACACCCGCCATGCATGCGCACATGCAATAAGCGCATGAAAGTTGCATGAAAGAACTTAGAGCATCTTCCGTAGCCCTATTTTAAGGCATTAAAAAGTCTTTGGAGATGGGTTTCGCCCAGTTTTCCACTAGTTAACTGAACAACTCTCTTCTGCTTAATTAATAAATGAGGAAAATCTTTTGTCTCCATTTTGAAAAAGAGCGAGTCTTTGGAGTAAAATTTAGGACACCGAAAAGTGCATTTCTTGGCACGACGAAGTGTCGTAGGGCAGGCACACGACAGCTGCACGTCTATTTGTTCATCTTCATTCATACATATTGCATACATATTACAAAATATCACACACATCTCAAATGCATCCAAAACAAACTAATAAATCATTACATAGTGCATCAAATTATTACATAGTTCTTCAAATCCATAACATAAATTGTTCATCAAGCTCAACAACAAAGTTTAGCATACAATACAACAAAGTTCATCACACAAATACAACAAACATAGAGATAAAACTACGCCTGTTGTCGCCTGCCATGCCCACTAAGGGAGTCCTGGATTAGGGGGTCCTCAGGATGCCGACCTATATCACATGGGCCAGATAGGTGGGCTACATTGTATCCGGACCGAAGACCTTTTATGCCTTGATGTGCACCTCAAGTCAAGATGGAAGATCTGATGTTTCCTTGACGCAACCGACGATCTGTAAACCCTAGTACCCCTAGTGTCTATATAAACTAGGGGTTTAGTCCGTAGAGGCTAGTACAATCACCATCCTACTAGTTAGGGTTTAGACCCTCTGATCTCGTGGTAGATCGACTCTGTAATCCCCATACACACAAGAAATATAATCAAGTAGGACGTAGGGTTTTACCTCCTAGAGAGGGCCCAGACCTGGGTAAATATCGTGTCCAGTGTCTACTATTCCCCATTGATCCAAGATCCACTGTTCGGGGTCCCCTACCCGAGATCTGCCGGTTTTGACACCGACATTGGTGCTTTCATTGAGAGTTCCCTGTCGGGTCACCGAAGGATCGATGGCTCGCCTGATCATCGGAGATGGTTTCAGCACCGGAGACATCTTCGTCCCTAGGCAACTTTCCGTGTTCAACATCATTATTCTGTATGCCGACGCGACTGGCCATCTCAACCAGGTCGATAATTTCTCCCCTGAACGGCGGATCGGGTTCGATAATTTCCAGTATGTCACCGATGCTCGGGGCGATCTGATCTTTACTGGCTTCTCAGCCTTACCTGCAACAACCATGGCCTCCGAGGCGTTGACTTCGAGGGCTCTCCCCGATCTGATATCCGGATCGGCCCTTACCATGCTACCGGTGTCGAGCTCGGAAGCGTCTCCTATGTCCGAAGATCGGGGATCAACCCTGTCCGGACCCTCCCTCCTTGACATGGATCCGACCTTGAGCCTTAACGAGAATTCGATGTACGAAGATGGGGAGTCAACCCCCGCCGGACTCGCCCGCCTCACCACAGATTCGGCCTCGAGTCTTGATGCGAGTAGTGTCCGAAGGCCAAGGTTTCACCCTGGCCGGACCCATGCCTCGCCCCATCATTACGACGGAGGTCAGCTCTGAAGAAACTTCATACACAGATATGGCCAGCCTCACCTTGTTGAGCGAAGCTTGACTGAATCCAGATGATGACTATTGTCGATGGCCCATCCCCGGCTCACGCTCAACGGAGCCTCGAGGTAGGCCATAGGGAATTTTACGTCCCACCCACCACCCACTATATAGCCATTGTTGAAGATCTAACTGACATGCTGGACTATGCCTCTAAGGAGGCCGATGACATGGATGACGACAACGAGGCCACAACCCACACGGACACCGCCTCTCCCGTCACCGGCCGCTGTATGGCCACATCCACCTACAACATCTACATGGTGGACACCCCCAAGGACGATGACGACAGCGCTAATGGGGACATCACCCCCAGAGGGAATGGTAGCAAGCCCGGTGAGGAGCCCCCCAGACACCGAAGACAACGCCGACGATCCAAGGGGCGACGTAGCAGGGAAAGCAACATGGGCACCAGAGAAGGTGACACTCCAGACAACGCGGAAGACCTCGGCGACCCAGCCCCTGAGCACCAGTATGATGGCTTAAAGGGGCATGAGGATCAGGACAACCCCGAGGACCCCAACGATTCTGAAGACAACAATTATATGCCCCTCTCCGAAGAAGAGATCAGCCTTGGAGCCGAAGATTTCATCGTCCCAGGAAATCCACTAGAACAGGAGCGCTTCAAGCGACAGCTTATAGCCACCGCATGAAGCCTAAAGAAGCAGCAACAAAAGATAAAGGCCGAACAATACACCCTCAATGACAGATGGACCAAGGTCCTAGCAGCTGAAGAAGGGTACAACTATGAACGACAAACAAGGAGCTACCCCAAACGCAGATTATTGCCGCAATTCGACGACGAGGCCATCGAGTCTGCACCACCCAGACAAACTCAAGGCAACCAGCCCAACCGCCCCCCTCAAGGAAGGGACAGAACGGCTGGCGAGGACGAATACCCACCCGTCCCTCCTCGCCATAAAGGCAAGGAGGCGGCACAACCAGAATATCAATACGATCTTCGACATGACCTGGCCGCTAGAGCCGGCCAGTCAAGGTCCATCTATGGATCAAGAAGTTATCCTCCCGATAATAGAGACGGATGGGATTTGCCAGTTTTGACACCGACACCCACCACTCCTCCATGAGATCTTTTGAAAATCTTCATGTATATCGTCATTCGAATGTCATGGTGGACCTCAAGAAAGCGTCCGAGTCAGTCTTGCCTCTGATTCGGCCGCACCGGTAGTCCCATGGGGTCATAGACGTTGTAGTCCAATTCTTGTCCATGCTCGTTCTCAATGATCATATTATGCAACGATTACGCAGTCTGTGATGATGTACCAAATGGTATCTTAATCCCAAAACCTAGTTGGTCATCGCACAATAGCAAATTGGGATTGCAAAATCTCAAAAGCCCTCTCCACATCTTTTCTAGTAGTTGCTTGAGCATTATGAAAGTATAGTTTTTTCTTACCCTGGGGGTTTGAAAGTGGCTTGACGAAAGTAGCTCACTTCGGATAAAATCCCATCTGCAAGGTAATACCCAAACATGTATGTGTGACCATTTGCTTGGAAATTCACCTAGGGAGGTTCCCCATTAGCTAACTTTTGTAAAGAGTGTGATCATTGCATCATATTGAAATCATTGCAAGATCTAAGCATCCCAAAATAGGCATGCGAATCCATGTCTCCTGATCATCCAATGCCTCAAGAATGATGATGATATCCTTATTGCTTTCTTTAAACTATCCATGCCATGTTGCAGGCTAGTTCTTCCACTTTCAGTGCATGCAATCAATGGAGCCAAGCATACCCAAAAATCCTTAGGCTTTGTTCATCTCAAAAGTCTCGCTGTGTCCCGAGCATCGAGTGATCTCAAATACTCTGGACTAAACACTTTCACCACCACCTTCACAAAATTGTTTGACGAAGAAGGTTGAGGTTCTCTCTCCCATTGTGTTGGGGATATAACTATTAGGTATGACTCGCCCAGGAGGGGCCGGGTCATCCCTATGAAGATTCATCACAATGAAGCCCAAGGTCACATGGCGATTCACAGATAGGCTTAATAGAGGGCCCAGACCCGAAGGCGGTTTAAGGCCCATATAGATATAAACCGCAATGTATGTAAAACTTGTATTGTAAGGCATACGAGATAGGTCACCGAGATGGATATGTTGTATAAACCGGCCGGGACTCTGAGGGCCGCAGGGCATCAACCCGTGTATATAAGGGGACGACCTAGTGGCGGCTTAGGGCAAGAGACAACAAATCGAGAGCCGGGTTAAGCATATTCGCTCCCTGCTCATCGAAACCCTAGCAATACCAACTACAAACTGGACTAGGCTTTTACCTTCATCGTAAGGGGCCGAACCAGTATAAACTCCCTGTCTCATTTGTCCTGATTAACCCCTTTAAGCTAACCTCAATGCGATGGCTCCACGACTAAGTCCTCACACTAGGACATCTGACGTGATGTTTCCACGACAGTTGGCGCCCACCGTGGGGCTATCGCACGATGGTTTCGAGTTCTTAAAGGGCAGCTTCGAAGGGATCAAGGGATACGTCGTGGGCCGGATGACCAAGAGTCGCCGTGGCAAGCTCTACATCGATGACGCAGGCTGGGGCCCCGAGGCCGGCTCAATTGAGTATGGGTACCGGGTCCCCTTCGGTGGAATCCACGTATTCATCAGCAAGATCGGCGAACCGGCCCTGAGCTGGACATCTGCACCGACATCGTCGAGACGGCTCAGCATGCGAGACCTGCCGGGGTTCGTCCTGCCATGAGTCGTGCCTTCGTGGGATTTATCCATGGAGTGGAATCAGAGGACATACTAGCATCTGGTGATGAGACCGTCATCTACTATGATGACGAGTCATCCACTGGTGAGACCGA